ATATATGAGATGACAGATTATGGAATGGAAACATAGCAGGGTTTATAGACTGAGGGTTGTTATGCACAATTGTATAATACATGGAAGGAAACTTGTATAATCCGAGGGTACCACCATGATTTACATTATGCTAGCAATTACCTAAGTGGTTTGGTTGAATGTGTAAACTTACACATTCATTGGAGTTGATCAAACCAACTATTTGTATATATATACATACATGTATCTTTCTCTATGACCATCTTTCGTGCCAAGTGGGAGATTGTTAGAAAAAATTACTCATTGGGTAGGACCCGGATTGTGGCCCATCACGGTAGCCACTTTCCAAACTGAATTAGTTCAAATCCAATAACCCTAATTGGAGCTCATTATGAGGGTGTTGGACTTAAACATTTCCTAATAAAACAACCCCATTAATTAAGGGATTTGTGGGATTCAAATTTGAATTCAAATGTCCCATTTATTTTTGGAAACCATGGGGCTGATTGATTGACAAAATTTATGGGAATTAAATTCCCTTTAATTAGGCAAGATCTTTGATAGGAAGATTGCCTAAAAGAATGACAATATAGAGAGGACCCATCTCCCCTAGGCGTGTGATACCTCTTGGTTTTCTCCTTCAAGTTTCACTCCCATTCTATTCTCCCCAAAAAGAAAAGAGTGCTCCCTATTAACACTAAACTAGAGAGTTAACACACAAGAGAGATCTTGTAGAGGTCTAAGGGGATATTATAGTTCTCGCAAGTCACCGACTATAATCAGTGTGTAGCTATTGAGTAGCTCGACTACATTAATCTGAACCAAGGAATCAAAGTCTAGTGGGGCTCGATTCAAGGAAGCAAAAAGTGGTTTTGATGAATATACTTATTGGTACAAGAGTTTCTTGCACAGAGGTAATGGCGATTGGAGGTAAAATTTTATTCTAACATGTTCTTTTATTTCAGTTGAACAGATTTCGGTTGACTAACAACCCCAACTTCTTTGGTAACACACCAGTTTCCCCCTAATATTAATTATTAGGCAGCCTTACTTATGGCAATGTGTTTGGCCTCGGTTATGGACTATTTTTCTTACTACATAAGGCCCCAAAGTATATAGATATAGACTTTCTATTATCTGGGTCAAGGTAGAAGTCGGCATCAATATAGCTAACCATTTGTATAAACTACCATAAAATATAAGACAATCATCTTTAGTCCTCCATAGGTACTTTAGTATGTTTTTCATAGCAATCTAATGCTCTTGTCCTAGGTAAGAATGGTATTTACTTACAATACTAACGGCCTGAACAATGTCTGGCCGAGTATACAACATAGCGTACATGATGCTCCCTATGGATGAGGTATAGGGAATCTCTCTCGTGTCCTCAATCTCCTTAGGGGTCTTAGGTGAAATTCCTTTGGAGAGAGTGACTCCATGCCTGAAATGAACGAATCCCTTCTTGGACTTCTATGTGTTGTATCTGTTGACAATCTTGTCAACATAAGTAGATTGGGATAATCTATTTATCCTCTTCAATGTATCTTTATAGAGTCGAAGTTCCAAGATATAAGAGGCTTCTCCAAGATCTTTCATGGAGAATTGCTATAAAAGTCATGCTTTCACTATAGTCAACATTCCTACAACATTCCCTATTTGTAGAATGTTTTTTATATACAAAAACATAAACATAACGTTATCACCCACTGTTTTCTGTAAACATAAGATTCATTTGGATTTTACTCAAAATCAAACTATTTTACTGTTGAGTCAAATCGGATGCTCCAACTTCTGGAAGCTTGTTTCAATCCATAAATGAGATCTATTCAACTTACACACCATGTGTTATTGATCCTACGCAACAAAGCCTTGCGATTGCTGCACATAGATATATTTAGTAAAATCTCCATTCAGGAACACAATTTTGACATCAATTTGCCAAATTTCATAGTTGTACTATGCAACTATGGTTAATAGTATCCTTATGGATTTGAGCATGGCCATCGGTGAAAAGGTCTCCTCATAATCAATTTCTTCTTTCTGAGTGTACCCTTTCGCTACAAGCCGAGCTTTATAGGTCTTAACCTTTCCATTAGGGATCTTCTTCCTCTTGTAGATCCATTTACAAATGATTACCTTTACCCTAGGGGGTGGGTCTACGAGAATCCAAACTTTGTTGGTTTTCATCGAGTCCATCTTGACTTTCATGGCATCTACCCACTTTAGGGAGTCTATGTCTAACATAGCTTCCATATAAGTTACGAGATCTTCCCCATTGTTTGTAGCTTCCAATCAAATAACTTTCTTGATCATAATCATAACGAACTGGAAGTCTACAAACCCAGGTAAATTTTCTAAGTTGGATATAATTATTTGGAATATGTGGGTTATCTCTCACTACTCTTGAGCTCTCTTCATCAAGAAAAACTTCCTAATAGTGATTGTTCAGGACATAGTCCTCCTCCAAGAAGTAAGCATTTCAACTAATAAACACTTTTTGTTCTCGTGGATCACAGAAGAGATACCCTACGTATATAACTCAGAGTTTTGATTTGAATTCAATGATTTTATTGAGTGATGTTTCACCAATATATATATATATATACAGAATTGATACAGAGGATAAGGATAACAGGGGATAAATACAGTAATTAAGTGGAGATAGGTATAGGAGAAATACAAAGATAATTAGAAATGTTGTGGGTTTACCCTCTAGTGGAGTAGTGTACGACACGTTGGTCAACAGCCCCCCTCGAGCTCATGGAAAATGCAACAACATGAAGCTTGTCACAAAGGAAAGATTAACGTGGCATACCAATAGGTTTGGTGAGCAAATCAATTTGGTATTTGCTTGAGATGTACCTTATTTGCAAGTGTTTGGCAGCGACATGATGACAAATTAAGTGTACGTCGATTTCAATTTGTTTCATGTGCGAATGGAAGACTAGATTGGTGGCCAGGTAAGTATCCCCAACATTATCACATCGATTTGTCATGGTCTCATGAGGCGAGCCAATTTCAGAGAAAAGAGACTTCAGCTATAAGAGTTCAGCAGCAGTAGAGGCAACACTTCGGTACTCAGCTTCAATGCTCGAATGAACCACAATGATTTGCTTTTTCAAGTCCCATGAGATTAGGTTGGGGCCCATGTAAACACAATAACCTGTTTGGAAACATCGATCTAGTTTGCAGCCTACCCAATCCGCATTAGCAAAGGCAGTCAACGAGATTGAAGAAGGTAGGGTGGCCAACCCGAAGTCGACATTGTGTTTTAAGTATCTCAGAATTCTCTTCACAGTGGCCCAGTCATCAGTTGTGGGTTTATGCATGGACTGACAGACCCGACTAACTAAGTAAGCAATGTCAGGTCGGGTAAAGCTCAAGTACTGGAGGGCCCCCACAACTTGTCTGTACAGGGTGACATCAGCAAAGGGGGAGGCATCAGTGTGCGACAAGGATGAGATAGGAGTTGCAACAGGTTTGATACCATCAAGTTTAGTGCACTGAAGGAGGTCGATGATGTATTTTCTTTGGCTAAGGAGCAACCTAGATTTGGCATGTAGAGCTTCCATTCCAAGGAAATATCCAAGCGGACCAAACAATTTGATGGCAAATTGAGTTTGGAGTTTCTGAATAATCGACGATGCCAAGGCAGTAGAAGAGCCCATGATGATGATATCGTCAACTTAAACAAGTAGAAAAAGCCATGTATCATTGTCATGAAGAATAAACAAGGAGCTATCAAACATTGAGTATACAAATCCCAAGGAGAGAAGATAAGAGCTGAGCTTGTGAAACCAAGCTCAAGGCTCCTGTTTGAGTCCATACAATAACCGTCTAAGGAGGAAAACATGAGAAGGTTTGTCCTTGTGAATGAAGCCCAGAGGTTGCTCCATATAAACAAGTTCATTGAGATCTCCATGCAAGAAGGCATTTTGTACATCGAGCTGTTGAATGTCTCAATCCGCGAGAAACTGCAAGGGAGAGAATCACTCGAATGGTTGTGGACTTGACCACTGGGCCGAATGTTTCATGAAAATCTATCCCTTCACACTGATGAAAGCCCTTAGCAATGAACCTAGCTTTGTAGTGGTCGATAGAACCATCAGGTTGGCATTTCACACAGAAGACCCACTTACAATCCAAGATGTTGTGGGCTTCAGATCAGGTTGGCATTCGTGTTCATTTCATCAGAGACCTTGTAGTAGAAGGACTGATTGTTTTAAAGTATTGCAGCACAGATGAGCAAGTGGCAGACATTCTAACAAAATCTCTTCCTCATAGAAAACATGTTTACTTTAGATCCCAACTTGGTGTTTGCAAGTTTGAATCAAGGGGGAGTGTTGAAGTTGATTCAAAAGTTGAAAACTAGACAGGGTCTTTGACAGCTAGGTTTCTATTGAGATATTTTCTCCTTTATTTTCTGATTGTTTAATTCAGGTCTGATGTAGTGCCAATAAAATCTGTTTGTTGAGAATTTTTAGCAATTTAGTTTTTAATTGTAAGCCTATATATAGGCACATTCAGTTCAGAAATAAAACGCAACAGTTAACTACGAACTTCAGCAAATAAGTTTGTTCTGTTTCTACTTGTTTTTTACTTCGATCTCCAACAATTTGTGGTACCAGATCCTTGTTCTTTCACAACTGGGCGTAAAAATCATGGCAACCAATGGCAATGTGGTGAGCATTTCTCAACCAGAAATTCCTGTCTTCAAAGGGGAATGCTACAAATTCTGGAGCATCAAGATGAAGACTCTGTTTAGGTCTTAAGATCTGTGGGACTTAGTGGAAAATGGTTATCCTGATCCGAATGAAGAGGCCAGGCTGAAAGAGAACAAGAAGGACTCTAAAGCATTATTCTTCATCCAACAAGCAGTTCATGAGTCAATTTTCTCCAAAACTGCAACAACAACAACAACGAAAGAAGCTTGGACGACACTGCAGCTGGCATTTTAAGGCTCCTCGAAGGTAATCACGGTGAAACTTCAATCCCTTCGTCGTGATTTTGAAACCTTGAATATGAAAAGTGGGGAATCAGTACAAGTTTTCCTTTCTAGAGTATCTGCCATTGTTAATCAAATGAAATCCTATGGAGAAGAAGTTTTTGATGTAACTGTAGTTGCAAAAGTATTGAGAAGTTTGACTCCAAAATTCGATCATGTAGTTGCTGCCATTGAGGAGTCAAAAGACTTGTCTAATTTCTCTTTTGATGAACTAATGGATTCTTTGCAAGCTCATGAAGCCAGACTGAACAGATCAGTTGAAAAAAGTGAAGAGAAAGCATTTCATGTGAAGGGGGAGTCCTCTAACCATATGGATGAGCCAAAAGATGCAGCGGGCAAAGGACGTGGAAGAGGAGGACACTGTGGTAGAGGTGGTCCAGGTAGAGGCAGAGGACAAAATGGTGAGCAAGGTGAACATAGGCCGTTTGATGACAAGCAAAAAGGCAACAAGAGTGGTGTTCAATGTCACTACTGCAAAAGATATGGGCATATAAAAGTTGAATGTTGGAAAAGGGAAAAACAAGCAAGCTATGCAGAAAAAGAAGACGAAGCTGAGGTGAAGTTGTTCATGGCCTATCATGAAGACACAAATGTCTCAACTGACATTTGGTGTTTGAATAGCGGTTGCTCAAATCACATGACCAGCGTGAAGTCATTATTCAAGGAACTTAATGAATCATACAAGTTGAAAGCGAGAATTGGAGACAACAAGTAGATACAAGTTGAAGGCAAAGGTACTGTGGCAATTAACAATGGTCACGGTAAAATTAAACTTCTCTCTGATGTCTATTTTATTCCTAGCTTGTCACATAATTTGTTTAGTGTTGGACAGTTGATGGATAGTGGTTATTATTCTCTCTCATCTGATGATGGTTCATGTGCGATTAGAGATAAAAAAATCAGGTCAGATAATAGTTGATGTTTGTATGACCAAAAATAAGTTGTTTCCTCTTCAAATCTCTAGTGTAGAGAGTCATGCTCTTATTGTCAAAGAAAATAATGAATCTAGAGTGTGGCATTTACGGTATGGGCATTTACATGAAGAAAGAATTTGAGATGTCTGATTCAGGTCTATTGCATTATTTTCTTGGTCTGGAAGTGAAACAAGCTGAAGATGGGATATTTGTTTCACAAAGGAAATATGCAACTGATCTTCTTAAGAGGTTTAACATGCTTAATTGCAAAGTTAAAACCACACCCATGAATGTAAATGAGAAATTGCAGCTTGAAGATGGTACTGAACCAGCAGATGCGAGATATGTTAGAAGCTTGGTGGGTGGTCTGATATATTTGACTCATACTCGACCAGATATAGACTTTTCGGTTGGAGTACTTTCCAGGTTTATGCATTCTCCCTCAAAGCATAATCTTGGAGCAGCAAAGAGAGTCTTGCGTTATATAGCTGGAACACTTGAATTTGGATTGTGGTATAGTCATGTGTCAAATTTTAAGTTGATTGGATTTACTGATAGTGATTGGGCAGGGTGTTTGGATGATCGGAAGAGCACTTCGGGTTATACTCTTTGTCTTGGATTAGGTGCCATTTCATGGAGTTCAAAAAAGCAAGCAACAACCGCTTTGTAATCTTCAGAAGCTGAGTATGTAGCTGTAACTTCATCAGCATGTCAAGCTGTATGGTTACGAAGGGCACTTGAGGAACTTGATTAAGAGAAAAAAGAAGTAACTGATATTTATTGTGACAACAAATATGTAATTGCTATATATAGGCACATTCAGTTCAGAAATAAAACACAGCAGTTAACTACAAACTTTAGCAAATAAGTTTGTTCTGTTTCTACTTGTTTTTTACTTCGATCTCCAACAATGATCACCCGAATTGGTCAACATTTTGACATTGTGATGACGACCAGGATGAGTGGAGGCGGTGTTCACTGATCGAAGAGGATCAAGAGTTATACAGTGGAGTCGTGTTTTATGTTGCATTAGCATACCTTGAAGTTCTTTGAATGCGACATCAGTGGATCTCATAGAAAGTGCTGTCACGAGAGCATCATACTTCGAGGGTAGACCTTCCAGTGCATGATGAATCAGCTGCGAAGTGGATAATGGTTCCCTAAGAGCAAAGAGTTCATCATTGTAACTCTTTAGAGTTTGCAGATAATCAGTCATTGAGGAGTCTCCTTTACGTAATGCGACAAGATCATCACGAATGTGGACTGCACAAGTAGTGGACTTCGTGGCAAAAATACTTTCAAGAGTCATCCAGACTTTGCGGCAAGTGGTCCATCCAACAACATAGGGGAGTACTAAGTCGGAGAGGGTGGCTAAGAGCCAACTGAGGAGGACTCAATCTTGTTTGATCCACTCAATTTGTTCAATTGTTGGAAGAGAGGGAGAGCTGCTTGCTAGGTAAGGTGAGGCGTTGTCTACGTAGCCAGGGAGGTCATGACTAAAGAGAGCACGTTCCACTTGAAATTTCCACAAGTGATATTTGGGACCAGTTAACTTCACTATGATGAGTTGAGAAAAATTGATAACAAATGGTGGAGGAGTTACAAAGAGGGAGGAGTTTGGTGAAGAGGTAGCGGTGTTGGAGGTTGAAGACATATTGAATACTGGAGGCCTTGGTCACGTGGGACTCTGATACCATATAGAACTTAGAGTTTTGGTTTGAATTCAATGATTTTATTGAGTGATGTTTCACCAATATATATACAAAGTTGATATAGAGGATAACGATAACAGGGGATAAATGCAGTAATTAAGTGGAGATAAGTATAGGAAAAATACAAAGATAACTAGGAATGTTGTGGGTTTATCTTCCAGTGGAGTCGTGTACGATACGTTGGTCAACACTACAGATTCCTTAGGGTAGCCTACAAATAGGCAACGACTAGTTTTGGATTCTAATTTGTCTGTATTTGTTCTTTTGACGTGTATTAGACAATCACATATTTGCAAGTGTCTTACACTTATTTTCTTGCCAGTCCATAACTCGTAAGGAGTCTTAGGAACCGACTTGGTTGGAACCCAGTTCAGTACATAAATTGCAGTCTCCAATGCATGCCCCCAAAAGAATATGAGTAATTCTAAATGGATGAGGAGTGATTGGACCATATCTAATAAAGTTTGATTTCTTCTCTTTGACACACCGTTTAATTGTGGTGTACTAAGAGGAGATAACTATGATATAATCCTATTGTCCTTCAAGTAGCCCCTGAATTTGTTGGAGAGATATTCACCTCATCGATCTAATCGAAGGGCTTTGATCTGTCTCTCCAACTATTTTTCAACTTCTTGTCTAAACTGCTTGAATTTTTCAAAGGATTCAGACTTATATCTCATTAGGTACATGTAACCATGTCGAGAATATTCATCGATGAAAGTTATAAAATAACAGTGTTGGTTTTGTGTCCTAACATTCATGGGAGCACATACTTATGTATAAGGTCAAGTGTGCCCGTACTTCTTTCAAGCTTACCTATAAATAGTTTTTTTACCATCTTGCCTTAAAGGTATGGTTCACAAGTTGGTAGATCTTTCATAGTGAGAAAACATAAAAGACCATCATTCACCAATCTTGTGATATGTTCTTTATTAATATGGCCAAGTTGGTAATACCACAGACACGTGGGATTAATTATATCATGTGTTCTTTTCTTGAGGATGTGTTCTAATAGTAGTAGCTGCAATAGTTGCAGTCGTCCTCAAGTAAAGTACAACCTCATCATCAATTAGCCTTGTGCTTTCCTTGAACCCCTACAATGTATTACATGCATGAGTGGAAACCCCGGAGTCAATACAATACGATGCAGAAATGACCAACATATTGGTCTCTATGACAAGAGATTCGAAAATACCTTCTTTGTTCTCGCAAGATTCTAGATATTGAGGACAATTCCTCCTCCAATGCTCAGTCTTCTTGCAGAAGTGACATTCATCAAATGACTTGTTTCTCTTCTGCTTGTTCGGTTTGCCTCCCTTTTTCTAAGGCTTTCTCTTACCCTTCCTTTTCTCCCTGCCAAATTTGCCACCTTTAACAAGCATGGCTACTAGCTTATCCTTCTTAATCAGTTTTTTAGCTCTTTGCAACATATTACTAAGCTCCTACGAGCTAACTTTTAGCTTGTTCATGTTGTAGTTCATGACAAACTGATTGAAGGATGAGGGTAGAGCGTTTAAGACAACATCATTCTTGGTGTCATCATCAAGTTGGGAGCCAAGAGCCTCCAATTCATTTTTTTAACCTATCCTCTGCATGGCATGGTCTTGAATTGATTGGCTTTCGGTCATCCTCGAAGTCATCAACAATTTGATGACATTTTGTCTTATAGAACGATTCTGCTCCTCATACATGGTTTTTAGACTATCTGGTCTATCTTTGTAGATATCAATTTTGTCAAACTATCTTAATAAAATTATCCAAGAAGGCTATGACATAACATTGGGCAAGAGAATTTTTCTATTTTCATTCCTAATATTCCCTTATTCTTGCCTTAGAAGTTCTATCACCTAGACGTTATGGTGCCGGGTTTTGGCAACCTTGTCCGATTTCTCGAAAGTGAGCACCAGGTTCAAGTTACAAAACTAGTCTGCATAGTTGAGTCCTTTCAATTTGTTGTTGTCTAACAATTTAATGTAAACTATTCGTATGCCATTTTTGATAAAAGGCATGATTAATTATTCTACGACCTTAATATTGTTTCATATTATCTTTCATAAAATGAAGTTTTATCTATGTTCCATCTCTATTTGTTCATCTCTAAGATTTCCCTCCTATTTCAGTGACAAGGACATAGTTCATGTCCCTGTAAATGTGGGAAATCACATAAGTGCATGGGGTCAACTGTTTCAGCTGCATACCCCATTACTTTCTATGAAGGATCATATATCCACCTATCCAATGACCTTTCCCTTTAGTCTGCACCATACAAGGTTCATTGCCATTTTATGTTAAACCTTTTTAACTAGTAAGTGTTGACCCGTCAATGTCGGGAGCCTTAATGTACCGTGGAAGAGTCTTTCATTTTAGAATAGGCCCCTCCCACTACTCTATAATGCCCCTATCATCTCATGAAGCAATCCCACTGACTGTCTCAATGAAATGGATAACCCAATTTTATGGTGCATCTCCACCCACAAATTCAACCCGTTTTCATGTTAATGACAAAAGGCCTTTAGAGATATCATCTTATGACATTCTTTACCTCATTGCACTTAAATTAATCATGAAGGAGCATGCATATCAATCCCTATGTCACATTTAGGTCTTACCATAGTGGCTCCCACTGACTTTCATAAAGTCAGATTCAAATGGTACAAATCATACCCCCTATGCCTTGAAAATCCCCACAATACCCCCATTTAATTCTTACCTAGATTTTGGTCCCCTCCTATCCATGTTTACTAGTTTTTGGCTCCCTTCAAGAAAAAATCCTAGCTCTATCCCTGGCAAACCTTGTTAGATATGGTGCAAATCATAGTTACAAACAAACAAATGTAAAATTGAACGACATGCAAACTTTTTATTTGATTCAGATTTACATTGCAAATCAAATACAGCCCTTAAACTCAGTTTCCTTGCAGTGTGAATTCCATTTTGACAATTGTAAATGCATGGGAATGCAAATGTTTTCTTCAATTTTGATTTTGTCTTATTTATAAGAAGTAAAATGATGTGATCCCCTCCCCCTTATATGAAAAACAAAAAAGAATGTATACAAAACATTGACATGTTCACTTTGGTTCCACAACTAAATAAGCACACTTGTATTCACAACAAATCCTGTACAACCAAGAGTGTGATAGGAAGCAAGATGATGTTGCCCCCATTACATAAGAGAGTTTTGTTTTATAAGACAGATTGAAGGTAAAAAGGAAGTGGTGCAAATTTTGCATCAGATTTTATGATGCAAAATGTGCACCACCTTCCTCTTACCTTAATTCTCTCTCATATAAAGCAAGGCAACAACATCTTGCTTTCAATGACTACAAAGACACAAGGCTATGTTTGGTTGCAATGCAATCTTATTTGCATTAGTACAAATGTATAGGAGTACAAATAAAAAGAACAATTCTGCTCTAATTTTGTTTTAGGTCTTGTTTTACTTCATTTGTATGCAATCAAATAAAATAAGGTAAATTTTAAAACAAAAACAAATCAGAATTTGCACCCAAATCATTTGCATTACTTTAGTTTTGCATCAATGCAAATTTATTTGCACTGCAACCAAAAATATCTTAAGAGAAAATTTAATATAAGTTAGGAGTGTATAATAGAATAGAATGGCAAAAGAGGCTATGGGTTAGAGCATGATTACCAACTTAAGGGCATCAACAGAATATTTTGTTAGTTATCACGATCTTCCATACTGTTTGTTTGAAATCTTGTTTCTTGCATTTGAGCATCTTCCCCAAGGATAAATGGATTGAGCGGATGAGGGTTATTCAATTATGGATGGCAGAAGGACTTTTCCAACAAAGACAAGGAAATACAATGGAACAAGTTGGAGAGAACTACTTCAATTAGCTTATCAATAGAAGCTTAATTCAAATTGTAGAAACAACCAGTGATGGGAGAGACAAAAGTTGCAAAATCCATGACCTTCTATGCAAATTTATTC